ATATGTTCAAATTTAGCATTAACTCATTTTTTAATTTTCCGGCAGTTTCCCCCCTTTCTATTGCAAAGGCCCCATATCATCACTAGTTCCGGAACTATCATCATTAGTTCCAGATGAGGCGCAAGACTTATCATCAGTCTTAGCCCGTCTCTTTGGTTTTGGTTCGTCCTCTGGATTATTCATTGGATTGCTTGGACAAGGCGTAGTGTACCCATTTCGATCTTCTTTGTAACCAACATCTCGTCTTCTTTTAAGATAAGTAGCTGACTCGTCCTACGAATAAACCATAAAAGTTTGTTGAATTAATAGATCATTTTTAACAATGTTACATATAAATGGCCATACCAGCTCCATATTGACATTCTTCATAATATTTCCAACGCCATCTTCAGTTCCCTTTGTCATAACTCGAGCTATTTTCAACTGTAATTCAGAACAATCATTAGCCACACGATATTTAACAATATCGAAGTATAAATTATTGACCTGGTCCAACTGCAATTGTTTTTTTTCTTTCGCATGCTCTATTTCCAGAGATTCACGTTCAACTTCATTCCAGAATTTACCGATATCCAGGTTCTTGTTTCGATGGTTCTACAAAGTTAATACACAATTTGTTACTATTTTGTCCTCATAACAATGGGCTCTTGAGAAAGAAAGCCACTGGCAATGCAGACCACAACGGGATCTAATGAACGCCGTAAGGTCAGGTGGGACGCGCGCACCCGCCATAGTTGTGTGAGTGTTACCCCTTCTCAGGACTGCTGAAGGCCCCCACCTCTACAAGAGAGGCAATATGATACTGCCAAACTTATAGACCACGACGGGATCTAACGAACACCATAAAGTGGGCGGGACGCACGCGCCCACCGTCGTGGAAGTATGTTCCCCTTCTCGGGACTTAACAGGGCCCTCCATACTGCCCGCCAGTGATCAAGATGAAACGAAAAAAAATACTTGCCTCAAAAACATTAAGCAAATGTTGAGATTTTTGTTTCTCTAAACCAGATCCATATTCCACCAGGTATTTCAAGCATTTGTAGAGTCTTTGAGCTTCTAGGCGATAATTGTTTGTAAAATCATCTTGGTCTTTACGATATTTGTAGTAATCGAGAAATCGGTAGTTTTCTGGTGCTGTTATTTTAAAATATTCATCAAGAGGAAACTTTTCCATGATTGTTTGAGCGTGATAATCATTTTTGAAATATCACATTTAGTTTAATTACATCTGTGGCCAGGTTGGTGGCGCATGCAATTTTTACGTCTTTGCCGTTCATTTCCAAATTAGGATATGGCGAAAAAACAGTTTTTGTTAAATAGCTCGAAAACGGCCTTCTAAATCACCTGTATGTGCTCTAAGTAAACTTGCAGAGCAGCCAAAATTACATCCAATATATTGATTTTTAAAGTCATTAAAACGTTAAGAAAAAATTTTATTTTTTGAGATTTTTTGCTGCGCCACCATTCTGGCACAGATTTCCGATATGCTTTTAAATTTTGATTGGTACAAATTGATCGTCATAAAATTTACCAAAAAAGATAGGCTAATTTTTTGGTTATAATATTGTTCAGCCATTAAAAAAAGGTAATTACTTCTAATAATAGATGGTTAAAATCACCAGAGTCACATATATTATAAGATCATGTAACCTCTTTTTTTTTCTTTCTTCCCTCTTATTCCTTTCCTTCTTCCTTCCTCTTCCTTTCCATCCTTTTCATCCCATCATTTCATTCTTTTTTTTTTGTTGTATCTTGATATATAATGATAATATTAATATGGATAGAATCAGCGTGGATGATGTGAATATAAACGATAAGTTCAGCAATTTTTTTTCTGTTTTTTCCATCATTTTTATTTGCAGATAAAGAGCAACAACCGATTGATAATAATGAGGATTTAAATGCTTTTACAAATGAATTTATAAAAGCTGAAACTAGTAGCCATGGATTTGAGACTGAAACTAACATTCAACTTAATGTTGGTACTTCATTTCCTTCATAGGAAGATGCAGAAATAAAACTCAATCAATATGCGTGATCAGTTGAATTTACTTCATGTTAAAAGCGTATTAAATTTGATAATACTAGGATCGTTCGACGTCAGACATTTGAATGTAGTTTTTTTGAAAAGCTGATTTTCAACCAGGTTATCAATACAACTTATCAACATTAGTAACCATCCCAGAAAATAATGTGTCTGTGATACATTAATCTTACAAAACCTAAATCATCATCAGAAATAGGCATTATAAGTATTTTAGGATAACACAATCATTCGATAATAACTGATATTGGTTTATACGCTCCCAAATATCAAAAATTGCCAAATGAAAGGATTGAATTTTTATGTTATTAAAGGATCAAAACAAATATATTCTTTATTAGTTACAAGTTTTTCTAATTATTTTATTCACAAGAAGAATCTTTATAATGTGATTCAAAAGGTTAAAGTACCACTTGTTAAATAATATAGAGATATACAAAATATGATTAATAAGTTATCTGAATTAAAAAATCAAGAACCCAGTTGGATTATTTATACAAGGATTGACCCATTTGATAACAGACTTGTAGGGTTATTTTAGATGTCTCCCAATCAGCACCAATGTCTAATGCAATATAATGATGTAGTATAAACAGATAATATATGTCGAACTAACTGGTTTAATATGTACTTAACTTTATTAGTTGTAGTGGACAATAATACTAAAAGCTGTCTTATTGTTCAATGCTTATTTGAAGATGAAACTATTGAAAATTATAAATGGTTTCTTGGTTTTATTCTTCAAGCGACTAATAGTATTTCACCAGTTTGTTATTTTTAGATGTTGATCCTGCTTTGATAAATGCAATAGCATTAAAGATGCCTAGTACTCACCATTTTTTTTGTATTTTTCATATCCAAGAAAATTTAAAAAAACACTTAACAATGAAGTTGTAGCAGAATTATAAATCCTTTATTAAGGACTTTTTGCATGCTCAGAATAGTTTATTTGAGAATGATTTTAATTGTCGATGGACACGATTAATTGAAAATTTTCCCTTGACTCAAAAATACCTTAATAATACACTAAATAATTGTTATCGGGTATAGGCAAGGTGTTACCAATTCAGATATTTCACAGCTGGTATTCAAAGTACACAAAGAGTTAAAGTTATAAACTATTTAATTAAAGAAGCCACTAATAGTACAACATCACTGTGTAATTTACAATATCAAGCTCAAAAAATATTAGATAATAAGGCCAAGTGACTAGACATAATTCATATCTTCAAAGTCTTCCAACTAACAATACACTATCAATTATCGAGTCTATATTTTCTGAGGTTATTAAAATAATGAAAAATATTTTACTCCACATATTTTATCAGTCTAGCAGCAACAGATAACTGGGCCTTTATTATATTGTGCTAAATCTATGTTCAAAGAAATAATCAATGATATTATAAAGGTATGTTTAGTAGTATAGCTACAATTCTGATTGAATCTGTTAGAGTTGTACATAATTTACTAATTACTCTAGCTCTAGGATATACCATTTATGAAGATTTTATTGTTATAAGATATCACAAGCCTATGTTAATATTTTCCAATCAGCTTTTAAAGAAGTACAAATATGCAATAGATTAGAATACTAATGAGCTGAAGATCTCCTTAATGGAAAAGATTATATTATTCTAGTTACTATGCATAAAGTCAAGAACAAGCTTAAGGTAAACTATGTGAATATTTGCATCACAAAGTATGAATTCTACACCTTCAGATTGTATTTCATAAGACTTAAGTGAGGAGCTGAGAGACACTTCACATGATATATTAAAAAATGAGTTATGAGGAGCTCAAAAAATATTACTCTTAAGTCTAAAGAGAATCTTTACAAATTGTATAAGAAATTATTAGTATGTTATAATAAACTAAATAAAAAAATACCTTCTATACAGTAAGACAACTATTCATTTCTGACTTAATTTTTTTGCCTATACTATCTTTCTTTCCATAAAATGCATTTAACTTCTCATCATTTATATTTAAACCTTCTGAATTCATTAGTACTGTTAACATATAATTCTTGTGAACTACA